AAAGCGGATTTACCGATAGTTTCGAACTATTAGGGTGGGATATTAACTGGTAGGAAAGTTAGTAACTAAAAGAAAATAGAAAGTTAGTAACTATTGCATGAAAGTTAGAAACTAACGGATGCAAAGTTAAGAACTACCAGGTAAAAGTTTCGAACTATCAAAACAGAGAAAACTGTATATAAGGGATGCTTCCCCAAGAAGAAAAAGGGACAATTCGAACTCCTGTAGGTTAGAAATAACCATTCTTTTGATGACCCTTATAGTAATATATCTAAATAATGACAATAGTATAGTATTAGTATTAGTTGGTATTATTTGTATTATTGCTTTTTTATATGTTTTACTTATCTTAATAAAGGTTCAAATTTAGTATACATTAAACATTGTTCTCTTGTGAAACATCGTTAAAACCTTTTCATCAAACAAATCTTGACCCTAACAACATAAAGATAAATAAATATTAGTACAGATTATAACCTCAATCTCCTTGAATTCACGCATATACTTATCTTAGATTTTGTTAACTATCGTTGGATTTTGACCCAAATTAAACATTTACATCCAATCGGTAGTTACAATTTGGTGATGACGGTGGGGTTTGAAAAATTCTCACTAGATAAAAGTCATTAAAAACTCAATTTATCCTTGATTCACAACCCTTTATTTCAAAAACGACCTTAAATAATAACCTCAAGCAAGAATTAGATAGGCTGTTTGAATGATTAATTGGATAAATTTAAGAAATATAGAACCAATTAATAATAACGATATCGACGGAATGGACCAACACATAGCTGCTATTACTGAACAAATTCAGCAACTTATCCAAGCAATGGCAATCGCTCCACAACCTCAAGACCAACCAAACCAACCAAGAGAATCAAATGTCGTTACTATACCCACTTTTTCAGGTGGAAATCAAGATCCTATTGAATGGTTAGAAACCATCAGATAGGCTTTTGAGGCTAATAATATTCAAGGACAAAGAAGATTAGCCGTAGTAGATGCATATCTTGCTGGGATGGCTGCAATTTGGTGGGATGGAAGATGAAATGTTCAACCATTGATTATATACTGGGAAAATAATCAACACCAAAATCAAAGTTTCGTTCACATCTTTAAACGAAATTTTTGCACTCAATCATTAATAAGCCAATGGAGTAATAAATTAATAAGCCGACGCCAGAAAGTTGGAGAAACCGTTGACCAATATGCTACTGAAATTCTAGCTCTTTTCCGCCGTGTTTCTGCTGGAGGACATCAATATCCAAAAGCTATGAAGGCTCAATTATTTATTTAAGGGTTAAGACCTGATTTAGTGCTTGCCATCAGATCTTTCATACCTAATACACTTCAGGATGCTATTGAAAGGGCAAAAGTATGTGAAGTAACTTTTGCTAATACAATAGTAAAATTAAGCCCCTCTTCTGCTATGAGTCCCGCAATAACCTTACTCCAACAACAAATGAGTAGTTCGAATCAACCTGTTCGAACTACAAATGAAGATATGATAGAAAAACTAACTAAGTTAATGGAACAAATTGTCATATCGATAAATAATAGACCTCAAGAAATTAAGAATAAGTCACGTGAGAATTACCGAAATAGAATTAATCGCCCTAATCAAGGTTATTGGCAACCGATTATATGCTACAATTGTCGTCAAGATGGCCATATTGTTCGGTAATATTCAAATCGGAACAATCCAATTCCAAATCGACCGATTAATAATAACTATGCGAATGACAATAATATAGGCTGTCAAAATGAAACTATCGAAAGGATACCTGTAGAAAATCAAAATAATATCAATAACCAAGCCCAGACCATGATTGCTCAAATGATGAATAACGAAGAGTCTTTAAACTAAATAACACACCTTTGGAGGGTAGGAGTGCATTAAAGAATACAAATCCCTCAAATAATTTGGTTGAAACATTTGTGTCGAAAAGACGTAGAGGAAACTCGGGAGGACCCATTGAAAAGACTACGATAGAGAAATTGATGAAGAAACAGCTGATAAAGCCGATAGGCCAAGGAAATTAGTTAAAAAGAAAAAAAGTAAGCCGGTCGAACCATTAATAATATCTAACATTCAACCCTACTCTATCTTATCCGACCTGCAAAATAAGAAAGCCAACATTACGTATGCGCAGCTATTCTAAACGGCCCCTAACATAAGAAAAGATATATTAAGGATAATACGTCAAGGCCAAATGTCAACTACTAAGTTAGCTGAATTTTACCAAAGTCAAGACGAAGATGAAAGAATGATATCTATGTATTGTGAAGCCAGGGTAAAAGAATATCCAATATTATTAATATTGGATAGCAGGTCGTCAGATTGTGTTATTTCAGCAAATTTCTTGAAAGATATCAGTATTTTGATCGATCGACTTTTACCAGTTTTAATGATTAGTATACATGTCAAACAGAAAAGACCGCTAAGAGAAATTGATAATTTTCCTATAACGGTAGGTGGTAAAACTATAGCCTCTAAGGCTGTTGTAACCGAAGCTGGTAATTATGCTGTAATCGTTAGAAACGACTAGTTAAAGAAAGCTCAAGCCCATATTGATTGGGAAGAATTTGAATTAATAATATGTGATGAAAATAAAAAAATTAAGGTCCCTACAGAATATTGTAAACCCACTAACATAGAAAAGCTAATTAAAAAAAATTTAAAAAAGTCATCAAGTCACCTGAAATTAGCGAAAGTAAGGGATCCAATAGTGACGACGAATAGAAAACTGAAGAAGAATATGAAGAAGAACAATTAATAAATCAAGCATATTTATATCAAGAAATTTATGACGATCCCTTACCTCAGTGTTACCTTGAAAGTTAAACGATTATTGAAGAAAAGAATAAAAACTTTAATATAGGAGAAATAAATGAAGAGCAAAAATATCTTTTAGAAAATTTACTAGAAAAATATAAGGACGTTTTTGTATGGGATTCAGCATAGTTAGGGAAAACAACAGTGGTTCAGCATGAAATTTATACCGAAAATTGTCCACCTATAAGGCAACGTTTCTATCCTACATCCAGGGTAGAACATGAATTTATTTGTCAAGAGATTCATAGAATGAAAGATGAAAATCTAATTTGACCATCTGTTAGTTCTTGGGCTTCGCCAGTAGTCCTAATGAAGAAAAAGAACAGCAAACTGCATTTTTGCGTCAACTATTATAAGCTCAATAAGATAACTAAGTATGATAGTTATCCTTTACCCCACATAAATGAATTATTAGGTGCATTAAAATAATCATCTTATTATACTATACTTGATTTGGCAAGTGGGTTTTGGCAAGTCAAAATGCACCCATGTAATCATGATAAAATGGTATTCATAACAAAATTTGAGTTATACAAATTTAATATTATGCTTTTTGGATTAAGAAATACCCTGGCAACATTTCAGTGTTTAATAGATAAAGTTTTTCACGATATCCTGTAGAAATATGTATTAGTATATATTAACGATGTCAATATTTATTCAACAATATTTGAAGAACATTTACTTCACGTTGAGGATGTTTTACTAAGATTGAGAATGACCAATTTAAAACTAAACCCAGAGAAATGTTATTTTGGTCAAGACAAAATTGCCTTTCTTGATCATGAAGTAAGCCGTGAAGGAATCACCACAAGCTTCTCAAAAGTCGAAGCTGTCAATAATTTTCCAACACCTAAGAATGTTAAAGCCCTTC